AGAGAGAGAGAGAGAGAGAGAGAGAGAGAGAGAGAGATTCAATATAATGTGAAGTACAAAAAAACAAGAAAGAAAAAATCTTATAAACTGATAGAGGAAAAGATAACTAATACATAGGATCAGCACTGCCAGGCTTTGAGGAAAAACCATACTTTATAAGGAGTACTTGAGTTAAAATGTATTAATGGAAAATAATAATAATAATAATGATAAAAAAAATAAAAATAAAACAATAAAATAACAATAACAACATCCTTCTTTATTTTATGAGGTCTATCATTCCAAAGAAAGTCAAATATTATAGAATTCAATTGAACAATATACCTCTTCGGGGGGTTTGATAAAGTAATAAAAAGATAATTTAGCTGAGAGATTAGCAAGGACTTATTACATAATTTTTTCCTATGGGGGTCAGATTCCGCTTTTTCCAAGTATTAATTAAAGCTTTAAGTTTCACTATTTTCTTATCGAAATTCAATCTGGGTATTTCTGTTAAGTCAACAGAAAAGTCAATTCCTAAAAAGGTAAACCTATTCTCCCCCCATTGTAAATTCAAATCTGGAAAAAACATTTCCTCACTATATTTTTTACTGCCAATCCATATAACATGTGTTTTATCAGTGTCGATGTTAAGCCCTTAAATTAATAAATAATGACCAAACAGGCTTTTTATCAGATCGCTATATAGGGGGAAATATCCGTACATTATATGATGTGATGCATTATGCTGAAGAAGAAAATATTCCTGGTATGCTGCTTTCAATAGATTTTGAAAAAGCCTTTGATTGTGTCTCATGGCATTTTATTCAGAAAGTTTTGAATTATATTAACTTTGGGGATGATATCAAAACATGGGTAGAAAACACTACATAATAATGTTTATTCTTCAATAAATCAGGGTGGTAATATTTCTGGTCCTATCAATATTCGACGTGGATGCCGTCAAGGTGATCCAATCGCCGCATATATTTTTATTCTTTGTGTTGAAGTACTTGCAGCAAAAATAAGAAACAATGTATATATGAGGGGTATCCAGGTAGAAAATGCATTTATTCTAAATTTACAGTATGCTGATGATACTGGGTTGGTGCTGGATGGCTCAGAAATGTCATTAAGGGAATCTATCAATGAATTAAATAATTTCTCTAAGATATCAGAGTATAAAGTCAGTCTTGGCTTTATAATTATTTAGCTGCTGGTGTAATGTTAGTTTCTCGTTCCCTTCGACCAGGCCTTATCACGGCCTCGCCTTGGGGATAAACCTGTTCTCGGGGAACATTGACCTTGCTTTATTACCGATGTCCTAACTTTATCTGTGTATTGCCATGCATTGGTGTCTGTATACTTATGGTAAATATTACTTTATATTACTTTATGTATAATCATTATCATCGATACTCCAGGGGTAAAACTCACATGGCTCTGAATATGTCTCAGGTAAAAAATACCTGGCCAATCGTTAGGCTGAAACCTGTCTTTTGAAGATTACAAAGGAGTGACATCCGACTTCAAAGTCTGCTAACTTTACCGTTACACGACCGAGAGATTCCTTGGATGTACATCAAAGGATCAATCTAGTCTACTCATCTCAATCACAATGTGATGCACACTGAACCGTCGATATGACATATCCCAAAGGTACTGAGAGCAAAGGTTAGCGTAATCCCTGGAGTATCGACGATGTCAGTTTACAGTTTAGCGGTGTACACATTTTTTTGCTGATTGAAGTTGCATTATTCCCAATCGTTACTTTAATATATTTCCTATTTGCAATCTGAATAGCGGCGATGAAGTTGCAAGAGAATTTAAAGAAGACATGCTTATAAAAGCCCTCAAACCAAGATTGAATGCACGATGATTTTTACAATGTATTGCATGTAAATGTTTTCTTTGTCCTAGATCGTTTGTGACGTCACTATGATTGTTTATTGATGACGTCACTGAAATTGTTGACTATGCAAATATTTATGACGTCATGTAACCAATGGTGATATAAACACATCAATCCGCATGAAGAAGCCCTAGAAGACAGATTTTATATTTTATTCTATATATAAACATAAAGAAAAAATCTCAACAACGAGTCTTTAGTACTTTCATCTCGTCAAGGAGATTCTTCAGACTGAATAAATATATTATCCTTTGCGTTTAATGTACTTTTTCATACAGATTTGGGCGAAAGTTTTCAATGTGTTGTGCCCTACTTATACTAAGTACGACCTCGGTGGGCTTGTCTTGGGCCCCAAATTTGCCTGTCTATATAGTTCTACGGTTCCTGATCGGTGCTTCCACAATGGGGATAGTACTCACTACATTTGTACTAAGTGAGTACACACAGATGTTCTTTACGAAAAGTGAATATACAGACACTATAACCTGATGTGATTTTCAAAATAACACTAAATGACCCGAAACATATTTTCACTGTGAATTTTTGATCATTTTATATTTTGTAACAAAGATACTCAATTGGTCATTCATTGAAATGTTGTAAACATCAAACTCCTTGTTCTATGATGAATACAACTTGAAGTTCACTCGTTGGGTGACTGATATTTCCACTGGTGTTTCAGCCAACTTTGTGACGCATTGATTGTAGTGCTGTAGAATTTTAAAATACAGATTATTGGAGCTTACTTTTTGAAAACACGGATATGATGTTGAAATATTTAAGAGTGGTGATCATAAATGCTTATGAACTTGGGAAAGTGTTGATGTTAGTCATTTAAATGTTCCTTATTTACGCAAACAAATATTTGTTTGTTACTTGAATTACTTTTCTATCCAGCATTGGAGATGGTTGGTCCTAGAAAGCGTGTACGAGCAGTGATGGTGAACGGGTTCTTCTTTGCTGGCGGAGAGGTGATGCTGGCCGCACTTGGGTATTGGTTACGGGATTGGCAATTCATTGAGCTGATCTGTGGCGGAACGGTAGTATTCTACCTGTCTTATATCTGGTATGTATTCTCTATGTCCTTACCGTTACTAGTCTTATTTACTTTTTTCTCTCTAAATTGCTGTTGAATACATTTACACGAAGTTACGTTCAGGCTGAATAATGTATTGATCAGATGATGTGCTTTTTAAATCATTTTGGTCTGTTCAATGGAAGCGTAGCAAAAAGCAAAATTTGAAGAAAATCACGGTTTACTTACCTACGATACGTTTCAATTCAAGTACCCAATGAAGGCGAAGTTACCGACACCAAATGCACATAATAACAATCTACTGTACTAAATGCTAAGTATGTTTTGAACACACATTACGTGTCATTGTATCCTTTGCTTGACAAAGGAAGCAGACGTCTGTGAAAGCTAGCAAAATAAGAGTTCAATACTGTTGTGTCCAAAAAAAGTATCTACTATCATTCATACAAAACTTATGAATCTTATCCCGGGCATTTGTAGCACTAACATACATTGTATTTATCATATGTAGGTACAATATATCTGTCATAGAAAACTTCTCATCAAAGGATATATCTATCCTTCGACAGCGTATTAAATATTGCACACTTTGTGTTAAGAACAATGTCCATGTTTTGGTACCGAAGTGCGTAATGTATAACAATGTTCATTGATTGGTAATGGGGAGGGACTTTGTAATACATCGTATTGAAAATGTCATCCTTATTTTTACTCCAGGTTGGTTCCAGAATCTCCAAGATGGCTTCTTAATAGTGGTCGTATAAAGGATGCAGAAAAAGTGCTAAAAAAAATAGCGGAGGGCAACAAAAAGACCGAGTGTTTTAAGCCAATACTAAATTATGAAGAAGACAAGAAACAAACAGGAAAAATCTGGCATATTTTTACCTCCAGAGTTTTGCTGACAAGGACTCTGATATTGTTCCTGAATTGGTAGATATTCATTTTATTGGCCTGTTTGTTTTGCCTCTGACAATATTTCATATTCAAACAATTTTCATTAGGAAAAGTAATTTCAACAAAAGCTGTAGTTTGAGATAAAAATATAGTATTCCCACTAAGATCTCTTTAAGATTAAACTAAATGGTAATTTACAAAAGATAAACAAAAATCGGTTCAAATTCTGTTAATTTATATTACATCCACTATTTTGCATCTGCATAGTTTAAAGAAATTATGTCATTTAAAAAGAACATGTTATGTATCAAACAAGAATCGCTGGTTTGCGACAGCTGCTGGTTGAAAAAGAACATACGGAACCCTAGCCTGGCGTGTGCTTTTTATATATTATTACTACCCTTTCTGACGTGTTCTGCTCACAAATAGTGAATTTAACTGAATTCATTGCTTTCTGTCCAAGACCAATTTCAGTCTAGCATACCCGTGAGCTGTCTACGGTGCAATACTCCATATCCTCTACTAAATGTTGGTAATGTGAAAATAAACCGTTCACGAGAGTGGTCAAATCGACCGTCCATGGCTCTCATTCATGGCAGTATACACACACATTAATTCTGTTCATTCAACATCCCTAAAAGAGGAAAAACAACATTATGTATGTATTAATCAAATATCTCTTGATATATCTGCACGAGTGATGCCATTGCTTTTTATATACAGGTGTGTTATTTCGATGACGTTTTACGGATTGTCGATGAATGCTGGTAATATCGGTGGTGACTTTTATCTGAACTTCTTGTTACTTGGTTTGATGGATTTCCCGTCTACTGTACTGAATCTGTTGTTGCTGAACCGTGTGGGCAGGAAAAGACTGCACTGTACCTGTATGATCGTTGGAGGCGTGTCATGTCTGTCAACACTTTTTACTACCACCTACGGAGGCGAATGTAAGATAAGTCAAAAACAATTTATATACACTAATCTTTCCTCTGTACGTATGTCATCGATATACAAATATTTATACCAGTACTGAATTTATGACACTGACTGCATTATAATTCGAATAAAGAAATATCATATAGCATCACTGTTCTCCGTGTGGTGATATTTTTTGTATCCAATTTCTACGTAAACTGCAATACTAATCAGCTATCTCTTTTGGTATCTTTATACAAATCCAGTTGTATTAAGTTACTGTCGCGTCGATACTCAGATTCACATTTATTGTGCACGACCTGCAGTGAATAGTTTTACAAGCAAACTAGCATCGGAGATACATATTCATTAGAAAACAAATACGCACTAGTCTTAAGCTATTTTTACCGAACTTATCAAGGGAGATAATACTTTATACATATAATTATCTTCAATAGAGGCATTATTTGCTTTAACTTTTTAACTCTGACGATATAACATTACCATGCAAACCTATAATTTGCGTGAAAAAAAATCGTTCACTACATCAAACGGTCTTCAACAACGGGATGTTTTATGGAATGGGGAGCTTCCGCCCGTGCGTCAACAGATAACTTACTTAAATAGAGTTCAATTTGAATGAAACTTGCTATGCATGTACATAATACAAAGGCTGAGGCTACGTTACTCTATCATACAGGGACAAAGGCTTAGCCTAAAGGTAACCAATGCATGCACATTCGTTATTAACATACTGCTATTTCAATGGTTTGAAATTTACAACGGGAGAAAATTCCTGTGATAATCATTTATTTAAAGATAATAAATGAAATTGTATTCCTTCAGCTGAAGTTGGTAAAGTACAGTATGTTGTTTCTTCTCAAATTTCCATATTTGCAAACATTAAGAAACCATAATGCATCACGGGGACTTTGAGTATGTCACATTGCATGGGACGGGCGTATATTGTTCCGCCCTGCACTAATCTTGTTTTGATTTTATTGTAGTAATATTCATGCTTGCAACTGATTATCGCTTTCGATTTTGTCTTTGTATCGTTTCCCTTTGTCTTTAGTATATCAATATAAACCTTCGGTCTATTTCCCCAGCTCTACACACGTTGACCGTCATACTGGTGTTGATAGGAAAGCTAGGGGCAGGTTCTGCGTTTGGAAGTGTCTATATTATGACGTCAGAACTGTATCCCACTGTTGTACGCAATGCTGGAATGGGCGCCTGCTCCTGTTTTGCCCGTTTTGGATCTATGGTAGCTCCTTACGTCATATCAGCAGTGAGTATTTAGTTGGTTTGATAAGAATGACACCTTCTTTATCGATTTTGTGTACGAAAACATTTCAACAACAAAAAAATACCGTCCATTTACATGTACCTTAGTTAGTTTGATAATTCCTCAAAGAAGTCGGTTTTATCAAGATGCAGCACGATACGTGTGGTGTATTGTAATTGTGCACATACCATCCCGGAGATTATTTTAAGTGTCAAGCGTTGATTAAACTTCTGTGGTTCTTATGTTGATAACATATTTAGATCGTTCTCATTGGTTTAAATGAATTATTGGTGTAACATTTTTTATCGGTTATAGTAATGATGAATTGACGAAAATGATTTTTTTTTTCAAATTTTAATACAAAGTTTACGATACATATCTGTTTTCCGCGAATACATAAAAGTGCTCGGACAAGACTATATTAGTTAACTATGATACGAATAAATTCGGTTAACATGCAACATAAGACTAGTCAATCACAATATGATTATGCTACAGGCCGCAGACATCGAAGGAACCATCGGCAAGGTACTTCCTTTGATTATATTTGGTTCAGCCTCCATTGCTGCTGGCTTGATAGCTCTCCTGCTTCCAGAAACACTTAATAAAGACTTGCCGGATACTATTGAAGAGGCGGAACTATTTGGAACGTAAGTGGCATACTCTTATCAAAATAATATCAATAGCATTTGTTGGATATTCAAGCGTGGCTATTACTTGCTTTGACATTCAAAACTACCTGTTAATTCATCTTTATACATTATTGAAAAATGCTATCTTTATTCGTGATTTTCAGACCAGAATATGATTCCATGAGAAAAGAAGCAAGTATCAATAAAGGTTTTTCAATGGAAATGAAATGATGCCGAAAAGGTGGGACTGCTGTGCTATAACAAGCCATCCAGGCCTTTAACGTGATACACTCATGTTCCTTTTAATTAAAACTTTAAAAAAACCTGATCGTCTGTTATCTCTTCTTCGCATGTAAATTTGGTACAAACAGTACATTTGCTTCAAAATACAAGTATAAATTCACAACTGGATTTAAGGTTCCCCGTACCACTGCCCAAAACTGTAAATAAGTATTGGAAACTGATTTTTCCGACATGATTATAGCTTTTATAAACCCTTTATAAAATAAAGACCATACCTTGCGCGGCTTTTATGACAAATAATAAAGACGAAATAAGCGAAATATAGTCCACAATAGTGTTCTGAGTGGAAAAAATCAGCGGTATATGTGCTGTAGAATTCAGGTGAGGCGGCACTATAAAAGATGCTGTTGGAAGCATGGTCCCACTACAAACAGAGCACAATACATTTCCAGCACACACGCAGGCATACACACATTGGGAGATATTAGCCAGGTGGCATAGGACTAGTAGTTAGCGCCTGATAAGGCAGCTCCTGCAAATTCATCGAACTTGTTTTCATAAATATCTTCAACACGTTTCATCAGTTTGAAAATATGTGATATCAAAGTTTTACTTTTTACACAAACAATGTACGAATACAACGTGTCGAAACGGTTCAAGACCGACTGGTCCATTTGTCAAGCTGTGACTGAGTGAGCGATTTGTAATATTTATCTGTACAACGATGTGACGAAATTNGAAGAATAAGAAACGGAGTAAAAACAATAAGTTTTGGGGGACGTAATAATAATAATAAGAAGAAGAAGAAACGGAGTAAAAACAATAAGTCCCCAAAACTTTGTTTTGGGGGACTTAATAAGAAACGGAGTAAAAACAATAAGTCCCCAAAACTTTGTTTTGGGGGACTTAACTACGGAACTAGCAGCAACTTTACCAGCGGGGAAGCTCACACAGGTCATTTCGGTCACCAAACAAGCCTACGAAGAGGTGTAAGCACAATCTAAACAGGGCCAACTGAACAAATTCAACATTTTAGAAGGTAAAAACAAAAAGAAACTAGACTTATCAAGTACACAACTCAAGAATTGGGTCATAAATCTCGGCAAATACAAATTGACGGCTTCATATACTAGTGTGTTTGGGGAGGTGCTCAACTTCGCAGTTGCATCTTAGAAGTTTCCAGTAGAGGAGTTCATCACGGCTACTGAATTAGCCTGTTCAAAACTCCCTTACCGCGAAGCAGAGCAGACACGGTCGGACATCATAGGCATTTTGAAGAATGCAAAAGCACCAACATCAAATTTGACAAGGGAGGGAAACAAAGCTCTCTGAGAACTTGGGAAGGAAAGTTCGATTGTCATATTACTAACAGACAAGGTCATGGCTACAGTAGTTTGAGACAAAGAGGAAGAGAAAGTTAAGGCCTTACTTAGTGACACCAAAGCATATGAAGGTCTCCAGAAAGGACCCTACCCCAAAATATAAAAAGATTATGATAGAACATCTGGCCAAAATAAGAGATGATTCACGCATCACAGATCAGCAATACAAGTTCATAATTATACCCATCATCAGAAAACATCCCTACATTGTATTGCACGCCAAAAATCCATAAACCGAGCTACCCGTTGCGTCCTATAGTGGACTACACTGGGTAGATTGGTTACAATCTGTCACGATTCCTAGCAGATACACTGTCGCCATTGGTAGGTAAAACACAACACTATGTCAAGAATTCCAAACACTTATCATCTGACTCGAAAAATGTAGGCATTGAAGGACAGGATATTTTCAACTCCCGCGACGTGGTTTCACTGTTTACCAACACACCAGTACAAAAGGGCCATCAATATCAGCAAACAAGACACTCCAGAGGAGAACAACCCTATCAGTAGACAACATCATCCAACTACTAACATTTGTCCTGGACATGATATACCTCGTGTTCAGAGGTCAGGTGTACCAGCAAAAATACGGTACTGCTATGGGAAGTCCTGTGTCGCCCATAGTCGCGAATTTGTTCATGGAACACCTACGCCATTAGATCGGCAGCCATGGAATGCGGTCCAAAACTTTAGAAACGACATGTGGATGACATCCTAGAAAAAGTTAAAAAGGGAGCAGTGCAGGGCATAACAGATCACCTGAACCAAGTTGACAGTTCAAATTCCATTAAATTTACCCACGAGGAGGAAAAAGGACGAAACCATACAATTCTTAGACACGCTTATCGTCCGCATAGAAAACGGCACCATCAAACTATTAGTGTACCGAAAACCGACACACACTGATCAATATTTGGCTTTCAATTCCTACCATACACTACACCAAAAGCTTGGAGTCGTACGTACACTCCTCGACAGATCGAAAACATCATCACAGAGCAGGACGATAGACACAGAGAAGAACAGGACATAAGAGACGCACTCAACCGTTAGGGCTACCCGACTGGTTGGGCAATAAATTTAAAAATAAGATGAAAAGTGCGGTAAAAGAAAAGACACAAAATTGGACACCTAGACATAAGAAAAAGTAATGAGAGCCAAAATTAAAAGCAATACCCTACGTGAAGGGAGTATCTGAGGCGTGTGCACGGATAATGAGGAAACACCATTTCAGCTCCCCAATGAGACCACTGACAACCCTCAGAAAGTTACTGGTGCACCCCAAAGACAAGACTGACATTTTAGACAAAATAGGAGTTGTATATCAAATTCCATGCAAGATTGTCAGTAGCCAGTAGATGAAACTGGGAGGAAATTTGGTTAACGTCTGAAGGAACATCAAAAGGACGTAGAAAAATGAGCAACATCACATTCACAAGATCCACACGCAAAACATGCACCACTCAGTACAATAAATCGGCATTAACAGATCATGCTAACGCCCAAAATAACATCATCGATTGGGACAATGCCAAGATAGTTGAAAGGGAACAACACACAAAAACGAGACAAATTAAAGAAGCAATCAAAATAAGGAAAACTCAGAAAATGAACAGAGACGGAGGGGGCACTAGCTGAGTCATCTGTATGACCCGATACCGACATAACAGGGGAGGGGGCGAGATATACACTCTACCTGTAACCTACCTGATGCAGTGTATGTACGCTCCCTATCGATAGGCATAATGTTTCGTGTCGAGTAACATGAAAAATATACAATTTCGTCACATCGTTGTACATGTAAATAATACAATTCGCTCACTCAGTCATAGCTTGACAAATGGACCAGTCGGTCTTGAAACGTTGCGACACGTACATTGTTTGTGTAAAAAGTAAAACTTTGATATTGTGTGTTGATTTATGCATTATTTATACATATGTTTATTGTAGATCAAATGTTATGCATTTTTATTTACACGGTTTAAATGAAATAGTACTTTAAGAGTAAATTACACGATAACGTTTCTGTATCCTTTATATCTGAAAATTGAAACTTGTTACGTTATACAGGTGTTTAAAGGAACATTTCTGCTTATTATAGTTCTGCATGTCTCTGAATATTTAAATATTGATTTTAATTATTTGACCTTCAGTGCCACCGGTGAGTTCTAATTGGACAATATGTTCATATAAAATCAAATCTGTTCTCACCGGAAATATAGTCTACGTTAGTGTTTGAACATTGGATTCGTGTTTAGGATTTGTCTTATGTGATTATAAGGAATAATTAAGGATATGATGATAATATTTTGATAAATTATACATTAAGTGTCACTTATCACCCCATATTATACTTCACACAAAGTTTGAAATAAAAAGTTTCACACGTAACTGAGCTTGATTAGGGTATTGCAGTCAATGCATAAGAATCTGTGTAAAATAATCCCAAAAAAGACAGTGTTATACAGCATCCTAGCCCGATACCAAGATATCTCGCTTATTTATAGGTTCGTGTATTTGCCCTTGCCCTTCAATAGTTCCACAAATCTCTACCCATAGTTGTCGTTCCTTACACTTTTCTTACAAGTAAGAGTGTAAGTGTGTATACGAAACGACAATTCTGAGTAGAGAACGTAGTTCCAAAAAAGTTGAATTTAGCCATAGTGAGGGCAATTTCTTTTCAATAGTCAAATAATAATTACATACAACGTTAGATGAAAAACATTTTCTTCTTAACATATAGTTAAAATGTGTTTAAAACCCGCTCGCTTACTCAGAAGCAAACGGAAATATACAATCCCAAATTACGTCATTCGGTCCTAAATTACCATAGTTTTAGATAGGGCCAAGGTTGTTTTACAGTATTTCTGGACTTTTTGTTGTGTTAAATATATAAATAAACATCGCTTAAATAATTTAATCCCTTATACCTAATACCTCTTTTTCACCTAAGTAGGAGTCATTTTCGTCAAAATTACTCATTTTTATTGTCACGCTTTCGTTTGTGACAAACAGCATGTTTACACATCAGTTGCTTTTGAATACTGCAATATACGCGTACGATTTCACAAATAGGTGAGGAGAGCAACACAGGGAGAAGGTGAGAAAGAGAATAAGGGATAGGCGAGGGAAGCAGGAAGTGGAAGTAAAAAGGATAGGCGGAGGGATGGTGAGATAAAGAAAACAAAAAAGGGCAAAGGAGAGGGTTAAATTGGGAAACACTTTCGTATAATTAATGTTCCCAGTAGCAACATCATTGATTGACAATAAGTTCAAAGTCCAAAACAATTAGTGCATGACATAAAAAAACACTTTAAACATATCTATTGTAAACATTACCACAATTATGTATCAATGTATTTAAGTCTGTTTACGAATTCTCCGCCAGTTTGCTTGACCACAACATGTTCATTGTTCAACCATGAAAACATATTATGAATCTAGACAGTTGGAAGGTTGGATGATATTATAACCAAAGCATATTCCTTCCTGTAAAATGTCATATTAACACATTTACAAAACTTCCTTATTGAATGTTGTGAGAAGGACTGTTTTATATTTAAAAATGGCTATATATTTATTAAATTGTGAAGTAAATTAGGAGCGCAAATTTACAGTCCTGATAGCAAATTAATTTATTTCGTTCATTGTAAAGTTGATTCATGTGTACGAAATTAAATGTTTTTGATTGTAACATACAAATCGATCCCACTTTTTTATCTTTAATCTTCGAGGGGAATTTGTCACTGCAGAGGCACAGAAACAGGTGTGAAGAACAATCTATCATTAGTGGAGTGGATGGCAGATTCAACTACCATAACCAGAAGTCTACATTGACTTATCTCCCCTTCGGTAAACAGATGCTAACATAAATTAATACTAGCGTGCAGCATTGATATGTCAGCTTGACGCGTTTACTGACTATGGCATCAGTTCAGAGTTGGACGGTAATAACCCATTTGTTTTCTTTGATAGCCCTTTGTCTTTATATTACACAAGAAATTTCGGTTTGTTTCACGAGGATACAATTATCAAAATAATGTTGGAAATTCAAAGGGCCCGGCATATGATCGTATCGACGCCCATGCTTTGGTCATGATGGCTGATACAACTTGTTTAACGTAGATTGAACATGTTAGGTAGAAAAACATTTAATATATAATGCACGGATTAACAAGATCAACACATTGAATGTTCACAGTATGTTCAACTTTTTACTGTCATCAATAATAGCATGGAACAACGATATATTTAATGTGGTAGGGTCGGTCATTACTCGGAGCTTGTTTCCAATGCCAGCAGTAGTTGTATTGCAAATTACAGTGATTTGAATTATAAACATGGTTATATGTGATATCATTTGAAATATAATGCAAGGAGTAGTAACTAATGGAGGAGGCCATGCAATGGCCAATAGTCGTGTGGGAGCGAGTGACCAATGGGCTTGTGTTGAATTAAGCGAATGGCCAATGGGTGTGTAGGAAAATATCGCCGAGTCTTGATATGAATTAGCTGGTACAAACTAAATTATTTGACATAAACACAGAGCTATGATAGTGATAATACATGTCATATACTTTTTTGTTTAAGTCAACAACCGCACAAAAATTAGGCAAGTCAATATTGACTAGTGTGTTGACTGTTAACTGTGGTCACTGTGAACTGGTAATTCTTATCAATACGCGTTATCTGGTCAAAGGTTTATGCACGATGGCGCGAGATTAACCACCGTCATAACAATAAGACGACCCAGTAAGACTACCACACTGTTCAACTGACTCTTCAAGAAGAGTCAACGTTAGGCATGGACTTCGACGAAATCACCAAGAGACTTGGAGAGTTCGGCCGCTACCAGAAATTCCTGTATCTGCTAGTATGTCTGACAGCGGCCATTGTTGGATTGTTTGCGGTAATGGGGGGAATGATCCTGGCTAGTCCAGAACATAGGTAGGTCCGCCTTTGTAAACACGTGCAATGATAGCTTCCTGCTAGTACTTGTAGGCTAGTGGTATTATCAATACCTTGTTAAAACTTTGCACCCATTTTTTTTTACCTAATTTTGATATGAATGAGTTTGCTTCGGAGATATAGCGGTACCTAGTACACATTGATATCAGGGACTACAATGGTTATGGCCTGCACGTGGTCCATTGTCAAGTTAATGTACTATTGTCAATACACAAACATAAAAGAGGTAAAGAAGTGGGGCTACCATGCTAGGCATTTTGAGAATAATCATGGACTCTTTATTCGCTTTAATGTTTCTTAAAAGAACCCAGGTAATTTACCAGAGTTAAAAAGAAGACATCCTCCAATAATCGTAACAAGAAATAATATAAAAAAAATCTTTATCTATATTTTGACTTCATCTTACCAATTTTACCAAAGTATAAAGACAAATTGCCAACAGTAATTTTTCCTGACTGTTTAATCTTCATTTCTCTCATTGTTTCAGATTTTTTTGAAATTAATGACCTCTTCAATTTTAGTGTTTTGGACCAAATGTTAATGATAAATGTTAATTAAATTATCAAAATACAGTAAGTAAGCTGTTATACCACGGAATTAGATTGTTATCTAAGTCCGTGGTTATACCGAAAAACAAAATGTCTTTGTTAAATTTGTATTTACGTTTTAATAGAAACAGAATGTTCTGCATCATACGAATCATTTGAAAGTCTGCGACTTAGAACATAAGAGTATACACAGATTATCGACTGATTGTTTTATTATGATACTCAATAATGCTTTGGATATGTTTTTCTCTCACTTCTCTTCTCTGTCTCTACGGCGTCGTCTCAATAGAAACCAAACTGTATATGACCTTGGCTGTCACAAGGACGTTTAAACAACAACAAAAACCCAAAATACTTCAAAGAGACGCACACGTCAAAAATCAAGCCTTTTTCTCACAACTATCTGTAACAAACAAGCATATATGAGACATGTATATGTCGACCTTGGGTTTTACGCACTGGTAATGGTGCTTTCAGACAGAGATTTCAATAAAAAACATAATATATCATGTTCTGATAAAAGTGAAAATGAAAAGAATCGGAAACAAAGTTACTTTTATGACGAATGTGCATTTGCAGTGTATATTCTGTAGCGTGCAAGTCACAAAAACTATCGTCGTCGGTCAGATCTATTGCATCATACATATGGTTTATAAGCTTACATTGAAGTTAATATAAGTAACACTAAATAAAAGCGGTGGAAATTTGACTTCGCTTCGACTCTTATAACAGATTCGTATTACGTAACGAAGCGTTTTGTAGGATAAACACAATGTCCTAGTTTAAATAGTCGACTCGTGTAAAATAGAACAGAAGGCTTACTGCAGTGTTGACCTCTATCCCATAGGTAAAGATGAAATCATGTCATGTGCCACGCAGGCATCGTGTAGAACGTCGTTTTACATCGGTTTTTGTTCTCTGTGTAAAACAAGTGTTGTTTACCACTATAATGGTATCACAGTTAAAATTGTTGCTACGAAAACATAATATCTTTAATTCTGATATGAAAAGTAAGGTATTAATATGACATACTGATATAATCATTAAAATAAGTAAGAGAAAGCGATGATACCAATTATAATGGTATCATCTTTAGATAAAATGATTGATTATTGGTTTGTTCTGTATGCCACGAGAACATGATACAATTACTTAAATGATAATTTATATAAAACAATATAAGATATGCAGGAAACAATATAGATCATATCATACGCTAAACACACGGTCACAAATTCGATAATAAAAGTCGATATGAAAAAGGAAAAAGGAAACATACATCCGAACTCAAGGACAGATAAATTAAAGGAATGCAAAATAAATAAATCAATAAATTTAGAGTCGAAAACAGGGGCTCCGAATAGAGTGTACGGTACCATATGTGGCAACAACATGTAAACAAGGACATCACTCCACACAGTAAACATATCTCTAAAATCTCTGTAAACCTCCTGTCTATATACAATAGGAAAAGTAATTAACTCAGTCAGATTAACATGATGAACAACCACCGCTCGTTTGGAAACCTCTTTATATCTTCATCTTATACAGTATTTTCTCCATAAATAGTCCACCAACACAAGAATGCTAACTCATAAAGAAAGGTACATTTCAGGGGATTATCATTGTTACTTAAAAGTTGTGTTATATTATGGTTCTGAACAGTATAATGTTTAACGGGAAAATATGATAGTTATGCATTTTAATTAGAAAACAAATGATATTCAATTTTTTTTATTCTGTCCGATCTCCTGGAGGTTGCTATGTATTTACAATTGGTATGCTCCGGAACCATTTGTAAATTTACCGCTATAAAATAAACTTTAACATATAGTTATTGACAAGTGTATGTCATTTTGTTACGTTACCTCTGTCACTCACCCTGGCTTGATACAAGGTGTGTTTTGTCGATCGGTTTAAAATATAAATATATCTCTGCTGTTATTGTTCAAGCATGTGACTCCCTATGGTAAACGAAACATAAAAGAACCAGATTTGGAGGCCGAATATTGATTTTATCTCCTAGGATATAAAGGAGAATACCGCTTATTATTTAACAGTTAACTGTTAAATACATCCTACAAAATGTAGTCTAGTAATAATCCACTATATGATTCACTACTAACAAATACATAATTATTTTATTTATACATATATATATTTAAATAAATATATCATCATTACTGGTCTGCAAACACTGTCGATTTGGTTTTGTAGTTTGCTTTTATCGACATGGACACATCACAGAAGTGTTTGATCAGTGTGGCCTTGTATTACAGTGACACTTGACCTTCCAAACTTGGTTTGAAGGTCAATGCTGTGTAGAATTTCAAATATAACGCTACCCTGATACAACAGTGATAACGTTCCTGTACAGCTTACAGATAATAGGTTTTAGAGCTTTGAATATATCATTAGATGACCTCCTTGAGTTAAGAAGATTAGACAATAGTGTTGAGAAGATAGATTGATTTATACGCGAATCGAGGTCTACCGCCACTGTTTCAATGCCATTAAACAGAAAACTGTAACAGGAACATTATATAAATATAATTATATAATCGTAGCTATATATTTCTAGACTAAGACGTCTAGCGATTTCCGGGGTTTTCAAACTGTGATGAAAACATGCAATGTACTTAAATAAAATACTTCTTGTGAAATTGATTTACTGTCATGGAGCCTGTATTTGCCTTACATGTTGTATTTTATACGCGACGATGGCTGTGAGACTGACTTTAATTAAATGTCATTGATAAATAAATAAATAAATATACAACATGTGATATTCATAAATGTTACATGCCCACATGACTTTAGAAAAAAACATTAATTTACACAAATATAAAGAATAATACAGCCAAAATACAAACGTTATTTTCACTTTACAACAGCTACTTTATACAACCACCTTAGTACATGTAAACATTTGGTGATTTCATCTATTCTACCGCGTCAAATGTTGTTTTCCATTCCTAATGATGTGGCGTGACCTAGATTATTGAATATCCGAATTTAGTAAATCCGTTGTGCATGCTTTAATTTATTCGCTATATTCCACCCATGTCCATATATTATTAAATGCGCTTTGGTGTCTACCTCAGCGCCAACAAGATGGTGTGACCGAGATAAATTAGATAATATAAATATTCAAAATGGGTTGTTTCATTGCACATGACGCGTGTACCCTTTCTATATAAAGCAAATATATTCAAACAACGCCTTACTCACTTCTTTTACATTTGCATAATAGAGAAGTCTTCTGAAAGAGCGTTGTACGGGAAAACACCATTGTCAACCAATCGTCGACATGGAAAAATGTCTAGTTATACTTAACTGCTTACCAGTGAAAAGCATGACATCATTATATCGCTGACGTGCTAATATTTTGTACTTAGTAATATAAAAGATCGGGGCAAATTACGGGTCAGAGACAATCTGTTATCCCAGAATCGATGGTATTTATTATAAAAAAAACATGGATATTTGCTCTAAGTTACAATATATACATTAACTTACTTTATTATATTTACATTTGTGCTTCAATGACACTATGTAAACCAAACAAATAACGTTTCGGGTCATAACACTATGCTCTCGCGGTTCATGTCATTTTCCTGTAATGCAGTGGGCATTCATATTGCCTATGAATGGCATCTTAAAGCAGTTTAATGCTTAAGTAATTCATTTCAGATGTAAGATACCTGGTTTAGAGAACGACACGTTTGAAGTCCAGAGTGACCGCCATCTGGACCTAATACGTCACTACATCCCGCCGTCCACAGACAAGCTTCTGTCTTACGACAAGTGCAATCTATATTCTTTTAACTCAACGTCCGTAACGTTCGACAATTCAAGTCGGCCTGTCAACGCCACCCTGACTAAGTGTACATCTTGGGTTTACAGCCATGAGGTGTTCGAGGAGACCGTTGTCTCAAAGGTGAGGTTTTATTTGAATACAAATCTGATCTCTATTAGTGGTTGTGGCCTCTACTAACTTTCTTGAAAACAAAACTGTAAATACCCAGACAAATATTATTGCAATATTGCGAACGCTAGCTACAGTTGTTGATAACATAGAAATGGCTCTTTGAAATAGGTTGAAAAGGATTGAAATTTTGTCCCATTTTCTATATGTCAGGTAAACATGTTTAAAATCGGATATGTATATGTCACTGATAAGTTAGACAAAATCAACGTTCGGATCGCAGTTTTAGCAGTGTTCATTTATATACAATTATAATAGTTGAGCAGCTTACATCAAAAATCATGCAAATGGTGATACAAGCATGAAACTTTGTAAGAACATGCATTTTGGTGTATTAAATCATATTAAGGGGGGTAGCCACGAAAAAATCCATCCTATCATGGCGGCCATTTTTGATTTTCAAAATGGCGTCTTTTCAGGTAAAACACATCAAATGTATGTTCCCTTTTGCATACATATTGCTTGTAATTTATACAAAATGTTACTAGGTTGAGTGAATGAAGGTTTATTTGTCTGGTTGTATTAAAAAACATCACATCCGGTCAAATATCGGTCGATAACTCACTTCCGGTTTTATAAATATCTTACATTTGACACATACTACCACACGCCAATGTTTAAATCATAGTACTTTGATAGTTATTAATTTGAAGCATCTTTTGGGGTTGGTCTTCGGATGTTATTTATAATTAATTGTTAATGTTAAGTGTTATTCGATTATTACGAGGGACAGATTTTGAGCTTTACAAACAAACGTGGTCTTCCTTGATCCCATACATTTTTGGACTTGATGATATCAACTATGCTAGATGGCTTCCTGTTCACCGTCGCGATATGGCTTCATTGGAAACAAAAAAATACAGATATTTACAGAGAATTCATAAAAGGGCACTTCACTGTGAAAAAATCAAATCGCGTTTTCTCAAACATAGCGATAGACCAGGCTCATGGACAGAATGACGCTATTGTTAAAGGTGATGGGGTGCCGTAGGGCTAACCGAGGATCCATCTGCCTTGAGACGTTGGATGGTAGCCGGACCAGTAATCAGTAGACTGATAGGCNGCAGACCCAGGGAAACTGTCACAAATTAAATAAACTGGATGCAATCAGTACGCTGACTTTAGAACCCGAATGCAAAACAAGGCAAACATTTTTGAAACAAGTTTCTTTTGTTCAGTCGCCAACCAAAGAAAAGTTCCGGTAAAACCAAAAGCAAGCTTGACCTAACCCGAGAAGATTGCAGTCTGTTTTCAAGGTTTTCATTTCGTGTCAAAGCAGACAATGCGACTTGGAAGAGTTTTTTAGTCACGAAAATCAGAATTTTTCTCCTTCATTCTGATATTTACATTGTGTCAAAGTGGTAAAATAAATATTGGCGTAAAATCAAAGCTTATTGAAGTTTTGGAAGCTAAGGGGAATTGCCAAGAGAAGAACCTCATCAGACATGGTAGTAGTTGATGTTGCAGCTATGGTAATTTCGAGACCACCGCGTGGAACATACACTTTTGATGAGTACGCGAAAGATATGATTTTGCCGTACAATAACCACCTTACTTCAAAACATTCAAGAGTAGACATTATATTTGATATTTACATAGGAGACAGCCTAAAAGCACAAACACATAAAGAGAGGGGTGCTGGAACCAGGCGAAAAGTTGTGGGCACCAGTAAGACTTCGAAAGCTTGGGCGAGCTTCCTTAGAGTGGACGAAAACAAGACGGAATTGTTTCATTTCCTTGCCGATAAAATTAGCTCGATTCAATCTGACAAAAGGCGAAGATGTTATGACAAATTCTTATGATGACCATGATGATCTCAGTCCGTGTAATCACGAGGAAGCAGACACAAGGATATTTGTTCATATCCAAAAGTGCAGCTGATAGGGGATGTAAGTCGAAAATCACTCATAATCAGATCAGACACTGATGTAGTGGTTTTGGCAGTGTCTCTATTCAATACACTAGAAGTAGACATCTTTGGGTTGCATTTGGAAAAGGAACAAACCTGCGATGGCTTCCAATTCATGGAAGTGATCATTCTCTTGGTCCTAAATCAGTGGCTTTGCCATTTTTTCATGCTTTCACCGGATGTGACACTGTCTCCGCTTCTCATGGAAAGGGAAAGAAGTCGGCATGGCAGACGTGGGAAATACTTCATGACGTTACCGAGGTGTTTGGGCGATTGAGTAAGAAACCTGCATTGGTCAGTAAAGCTGATATTGAGTTGATAGAGGCATTTGTTGTAGTTATGTACGACAAAACTACAACAACATTTGACATAAATGAATCCAGGCTTGAATTGTTTGCAACACACCAAACGAGCTGCATATCAAGGTGGTCATGTAAGGGGACAGGCAGTCACACTTGAACAACATCTACCTAGTCCGGGCGATTAGGGATGAAGGAGACAGCAGATGGGTTGTGGATTTCCAATTGGACACAATTAGGAGCCATTGCAGCATCGTGCCAGGAGTTACACAATTGTGGATGCAAGAAAACTTGTTCTGGTAGATGCAAGTGTTATAAAGCTGGTTTGACCTGTACAACATTATGTACATCGGAAAATATGGCAGAATAATACATCATTCGACCTTCCTGCATATCTTAAATAATTACCTATATATCAAACGGACATTTTTATCGCATATCCTTACCCCCATTATTTCACTCGATTGTATGAATTTTTACCACTCTAACCGGAAGTGGTGAAATATTTTTACAATTCCTGTCTGTTTCACATATTTTCATTTTTTTTTGTGTATTTCAAATAGTTGTCATCACCAATCTCCACTATTGGGCAAAATGATGTCAATTTTAAATTCAAGATAGCCGCCGTGAAAAAAAATCAAAAATATATTGGCTACCCCTCTTATATGCTAAAGTACACCCTAAAGAACGTATGTGCCAAATCCTATGCTTGTATCACCATTTGCATGATTTTGTCAAATTTCGGTACTAAGCCGCCCCACTATAAAGACAGATTGTGGAATAAAAAATGATATATGGACAAATAATTGCAATTGATCTTCTTTAGATATTAACAGCTAAACGAAAGCACAGTTTATTTTTATACATCAAGAACACATCAGTACCGTGATAAATATTGAATTGTTGACATCATAGTAAGGGCCTTGACAATGTGTATGTTCAGTTGGCCTATCATCTTTAAATTCTCAAATCTCGACATCTGTTTACTAAGCCTATCTGTTGATAAATTTGTTAAGTCGCTTCTTCAATAGGGCAGCTAAAATGGTCTATCCAAAAGTCAACATGTTCCAGTGGTTATCGCTCTTTAGGTCAACAGTCCTTTGTTTACGCCACAGCTTTGTCTGGAGTCAAACCTCCTAACAGGTAAAGATCATAGACCGACAATTTGTAAACATCCTGTCAGTCATACATAGAATGTCACGTCATCTTCGAACTAAGAATGTGTTTTTAATCAGTTAATAATCAGCATTATGTTTATGTATGTCTATTATCAAAGTCTAAAAGAAGATGAAAACATGCAAGCTTAATTTACTGGGAATATGGTCATAATTGTTTATACCTGATGACGACATATCATAAAAGAGATACATGTTGTATTTTCAATAATTCAAACAAATATTGAAATGAATGCATGCATTTAGTAATTACATTTACAAGTGCCCTCTACGCAATCACAAAAAAAGGTACACATCTAAATGTCTTACTTAAATAATACAGTACTACAAGATATTTATTTATAAACTATATTGAACATCGAACGTTGTATTTTTTTTGGAATGGCAAAACTATAATTAATCATATTATACAATAGCATTTTTATAACCGGACTTAACTAGCTTCTTTTCAAAATAAAATAAATGGACTGAGTTTTGGTGTGGGGTCTAACAGTACAGTTAGGTGTATTGTAATGACATGTTTGCTTCTAACCTAGGTGCATGTTCGCATAAGGTTGAAACCAATCGGACGGAGTCAGTTTGGATATTTGATACCTTATTACAAAGCACATTTAAGTATTGAAGATGTAACACTGTTTCATTGGTCTTAATTGGTAACTCAATATTAATATTCACCAGATATCAGGATGATTATGCTCTCGACTTTTACTGTTGACTGATATTGATAAGTGCGCGCCCTGATCGCTTCTTCTACCCCTGTAGTGATTGTGGTAGTTATCTAATGCCCTCTGTAGTGATAGTGGTAGTTATCTAATGCTATCTCTGTAGTGATAGTGGAAGTTCTCTACTGCTACCTCTGTAGTAATAGTTGTAGTTCTCTACTGCTACTTCTGTAGTGATAGTGGTAAATTTTAGCTCTCTACTGCTACCTCTGAAGTGATAGTGGTAGTTCTATACTGTTATCTCTGTAGTGATAGTTGCAGCTCTCTACTGCTATCTTTGAAGTGATCGTGGTAGTTCTCTACTGCTACTTCTGTAGTGATCGTGATAGTTCTCTACTGCTACCTCTGTAGTGATAGTGGTAGTTATCTAATGCTATCTCTGTAGTGATAGTGGTAGTTATCAACGGCTACCTCTGTAGTGGTAGTGGTAGTTATCTACTGTTACCTCTGTAGTGATAGTGGTAGCTATCTACTGCTACCTCTGTAGTGATAATGGTAGTTATCTACTGCTGTCTCTGTAGTGATAGTGGTAGTTCTCTACTTCTACCTCTGTTGTGATAGTGGTAGTTCTATACTGCTACTACTGTAGTGATAGTGGTAGTTATCTACCGCTACCTCTGTAGTGATAGTGGTAGTAATCTACTGCTACCTCTGTAGTTATAGTGATAGCTCTCTAGTGGTAGTTCTCTACTGCTACCTATGTAGTGGTAGTGGTAGTTATCTACTGCTACCTTTGTAGTGATAGTGGGAGTTATCTACTGCTGTCTCTGTAGTGATAGTGGTAGTTCTCTACTGCTACCTCTGTTTTGGTAGTGGTAGTTATCTACTGCTTCCTCTGTAGTGGTAGTGGTAGCTCTCTACTGCTTCCTCTGTAGTGATAGTGGTAGTTATCAACTGCTCCCTCTGTAGTGGTAGGGTTAGTTATCTACTGCTACCTCTGTGGTGATAGTGGTAGTTAGTTACTGCTACCTCTGTGGTGATAGTGGTAGTTAGTTACTGCTACCTCTGTGGTGATAGTGGTAGTTATCTACTGCTGCCTCTGTAGTGATAGTGGTAGTTATGTACTGCTACCTCTGTGGTGATAGTGGTAGTTCTTTACTGCTACCTCTGTAGTGATAGTGCTGCTACCTCTGTAGTGATAGTGGTGGTTATTTACTGCTACCTCTGTGGTGATAGTGGTAGTTCTTTACTGCTACCTCTGTAGTGATAGTGATAGTTATCTACTGCTGTCTCTGTAGTGATAGTGGTAGTTCTCTACTTCTACCTCTGTTGTGATAGTGGTAGTGATCTACTACTACCTTTGTAGTGATAGTGGTAGTTATGTACTGCTACCTCTGTAGTGATAGTGGAGTTATCTACTGCTGTCTCTGTAGTGATAGTGGTAGTTCTCTACTTCTACCTCTGTTGTGATAGTGGTAGTTATTTATTGCTACCTCTGTGGTGATAGTGGTAGTTCTATACTGCTACTTCTGTAGGGATAGTGGTAGTTATCTACTGCTGTCTCTGTAGTGATAGTGGTAGTTCTCTACTGCTTCCTCTGTTGTGATAGTGGTAGTTATCTTCTGCTGCCTCTGTAGTGATAGTGGTAGTTCTCTACTGCTACCTCTGTTTTGGTAGTGGTAGTTATCTACTGCTTCCTCTGTAGTGGTAGTGGTAGCTCTCTACTGCTTCCTCTGTAGTGATAGTGGTATTTATCTACTGCTAGCTCTGTAGTGATAGTGGTAGTTATCAGCTGCTACCTCTGTAGTGATAGTGGTTGTTATCTGCTGCTGTCTCTGTAGTGATAGTGGTAGTTCTCTACTGCTGCCTCTGTAATGTTAGTGGTAGCTCTCTACTGCTACCTCTTTAGTGATAGTGGTAGTTATCTTCTGCTGCCTCTGTAGTGATAGTGGTAGTTATGTACTGCTACCTCTGTGGTGATAGTGGTAGTTATTTACTGCTACCTTTGTAGTGATAGTGGGAGTTATCTACTGCTACCTCTGTAGTTATAGTGATAGCTCTCTACTGCTACCTTTGTAGTGATAGTGGTAGTTATCTACCGCTGTCTCTGTAGTGATAGTGGTAGTTCTCTACTGCTGCCTCTGTAGTGATAGTGGTAGTTCTCTACTGCTTCCTCTGTTGTGATAGTGGTAGTTATTTATTGCTACCTCTGTGGTGATAGTGGTAGTTCTATACTGCTACTTCTGTAGTGATAGTGGTAGTTCTCTACTGCTACCTCTGTTGTGATAGTGGTAGTTATTTACTGCTACCTCTGTGGTGATAGTGGTAGTTATTTACTGCTACCTCTGTGGTGATAGTGGTAGTTCTATACTGCTACCTCTGTAATGTTAGTGGTAGCTCTCTACTGCTACCTCTGTAGTGATAGTGGTAGTTATTTACTGCTACCTTTGTAGTGATAGTGGTAGTTATCTACTGCTACCTCTGTAGTGATAGTGGTAGTTCTCTACTGCTACCTCTGTAGTGATAGTGGTAGTTATCTACTGCTGTCTCTGTAGTGATAGTGGTAGTTCTCTACTGCTACCTCTGTAATGTTAGTGGTAGCTCTCTACTGCTACCTCTGTAGTGATAGTGGTAATTATCTACTGCTACCTCTGTAGTGATAGTGGTAGCTCTCTACTGCTACCTCTGTAGTGATAGTGGTAGTTATCTACTGCTACCTCTGTAACGTTAGTGGTAGCTCTCCACTGCTACCTCTGTAGTGATAGTGGTAGTTATCTACTGCTACCTCTGTAGTGATAGTGGTAGATTTCTACTGCTACCTCTGTAGTGATAGTGGTAGTTCTCTACTGCTATCTCTGTAATGTTAGTGGTAGTTCTCTACTGCTACCTCTGTAGTGGTAGTGGTACATGTAGTTATCTACTGCTACCTCTGTAGTGATCGTGATAGCTCTCTACTGCTACCTCTGTAGTGATAGTGGGAGATCTATACTGCTACCTCTGTAGTGATAGTGGGAGATCTATACTGCTACCTCTGTAGTGATAGTGGTAGCTCTCTACTGCTACCTCTGTAATGATAGTGGTAGCTCTCTACTGCTACCTCTGTAGTGACAGTGGTAGTTATCTACTGCTACCTCTGTAGTGATAGTGGTAGTTATCTACTGCTACCTCTGTAGTTATAGTGGTATTTATCTACTGCTACCTCTGTAGTGATAGTGGTAGCTCTCTACTGCTACCTCTGTAGTGACAGTGGTAGTTATCTACTGCTACCTTTGTAGTGATAGTGGTAGCTCTCTACTGCTACCTCTGTAGTGAAAGTGGTAGTTATCTACTGCTACTTCTGTAGTGTAGTGATAGTTATCTACTGCTACCTCTGTAGTGATAGTGGTAGCTCTCTACTGCTACCTCTGTAGTGATATTGGTATTTATCTACTGCTACCTCTGTAGTGATAGTGGTAGTTATCTCCTGCTACCTCTGTTGTGATAGTGGTAGTTATCTTCTGCTACCTCTGTAGTGATATTGGTAGTTCTATACTGCTACCTCTGTAGTGATAGTGGTAGTTATCTACTGCTACCTCTGTAGTTATAGTGATAGCTCTCTTCTGCTACCTCTGTAGTGATTGTGATAGTAATCTACTGCTACCTCCTCTGTAGTGATCCTGATAGCTCTCTACTGCCTCTGTAGTGATAGTGATAGCTCTCTTCTGCTACCTCTGTAGTGATTGTGATAGTAATCTACTGCTACCTCTGTAGTGATAGTAATCTACTGCTACCTCTGTAGTGATAGTGGTAGTTATATACTGCTACCTCTGTAGTGATAGTGGTAGTTATCTACTGCTACCTCTGTAGTGATCCTGATAGCTCTCTACTGCTACCTCTGTAGTGATAGTGGTAGATCTCTACTGCTACCTCTGTAGTGATAGTGATAGTAATCTACTGCTACCTCTGTAGTTATAGTGATAGCTCTCTACTGCTACCTTTGTAGTGATAGTGGTAGCTCTCTACTGCTACCTCTGTAGTGATAGTGATAGTAATCTACTGCTACCTCTGTAGTGATAGTGGTAGTTATCTACTGCTACCTCTGTAGTGAAAGTGATAGTTATCTACTGTTACCTCTTTAGTGATAGTGGTAGTTATCTACTGCTACCTTTGTAGTGATAGTGATAGTTATCTACTGCTACCTCTGTAGTGATAGTGGTTGTTATCTACTGCTACCTCTGTAGTGATAGTGATATTTATCTACTGCTACCTCTGTAGTGATCGTGGTAGTTATCTACTGCTACCTCTGTAGTGATAGTGGTAGTTATCTACTGCTACCTCTGTAGTGATAGTGATATTTATCTACTGCTTCCTCTGTAGTGATAGTGGTAGTTCTCAACTGTTCCAGCTACATTGCTTATGAATAAAAGAGATAGTAAGCGATTTACTTATACCGCTTTGTCATTGTTGAAGAAGAGGTATTTTTTATGATAATTGGAAAAACTCCAACAACAATCTGATTAAATGCACAATAATTAAATAATCGTGTTCTACTTTAATGTGAAATTAACTGATACCGTGTAGTGCTTTAAAACTCTCAAATGAGTTATAACCAATGAAATCAGGTAAATGTGTATTCACACTACGATATACAGAGACGTCTCAATACTTAGGAATCAGCCTAGAGGGCGGAACTCGGAGGACGTTAATAGCCAGTGCAGTTACTTCAAAACATATATAATTTCCCTCAGGTCAATAAGTCAACATCTGTGATAATGATAATGACATCGGAAGATTTGAACGAAATTATTCACTTCTTACATACTGAGAAATTCTCTAGTGATGAAAAATGTAATCTTTTTCTCTGTATATTATTTCTTTACCGAATTTCTCCACTTATTATAGACTAAACTATCTTTCTCCAAAGAATACACTGTATACACTTTCTCCACTAATTATACAATATATAGAATTGGTCTGCAGATTATATTATTTATAGAATTTCTCCACTAATTATATCATGTTTTCATTTTTCACTATTTATGTACCGTATAAAGTGTATCCCCTATTGATTAATGTAGAAAATGTCTCCACTGATTCTATAATATATACACTGTCTACACTACGTATGTAATTAAAAAAAAATATTCGCAAAATAATATAATTTATAGAATGTCTACACTACTTTTATAATGTATACTACTTTTATACAGTGTAATGTATAACATGTCTACATTTATCATACAATGTATAAAATGTCGACATTTAGCATACAATGTATAAGATGTATACCCCAATTACATAGGATAAAATGTCTCCACCAATTATGTAATTGTACATAACCTGGATTAAATTCCACCACTAAATTGGTATTTTACTGTTTATTGTATACATACTAAGCTCAATATTTTGTTACAGTATAATGTCGTGTGCGAAAATGCCTACCAGGCATCAATTACAAAGTCGCTGTTCTACGCTGGAGTATTCGTCGGCGCCTTTGTCTTCGGTCAAATGTCGGACTTGTAAGTTGTTATATTTTTCAGTAGTGAAGAACGACAGGCGACGTTAAGTTCTATTGTTTGACAGCAAAGTAGCATGGCATGACCAATCGTTGCTCCACAGTGTAAAACTAACTAATAAGATAATGAGATGACAGAAGATTTTTATTTGATTATTTTTTGTATTGAACACTGCTTTGTCATTATTTGTCACAGATAATACATACTGTTTAAGTACCTAAAAAAGTCATACAGCAACTAACAGAAAGTTTTTACGAAGCTGACAGTACGCTATTCTCAGAGATTCCACAAAATATGGAGAAAATGGCAAATAACAAAAAATGATTTTTTCATTAATCAGTATTTGTTATAATTCTATTTGAATTGTGCGTTCTGAAAATATTTCAATAAATTCATAAATTCACAATTCTCTAATGTACAAATTCAAAAATATATTTCAAACATTTCAGTTTATAATATAGTTTGATTTTCCGTTGAAACTAACTTTTAAATTGTTTTTAATTAATGAATGGTACTAAACAAAATATAGCTTGTATCATAAAAAAATATCAAGATTTATTAAATAAAAATGTTCATAACTGAGACACCTCATACAGACTGTATATTCTGATGTGATATGGTTATTGATCTTTTAAACCTAGTTTCGGGCGGAAGAAGACGTTTTATTTCTCGCTGGTCCTGATGTTGGCATCGTCTTTTGCTCTGGCATGGGCTCCGAACTATATTGGGTTTTCCGTCATCAACTTGATAGTTGGAGCAGCGTCACAGGGCCTCTTCCTCACGGGATTTGTAATAGGTGTGTAAAACGTCATCAAATAAGGGACAGCGTCACAGGTTCCCTTAGTCACGGGATTTGTAATAGGTGTATATAACGTCATCAAATAAGGGACCGCGTCACAGGGTCTCGTCCTCTTGGGATTTTTTGATAGGTGTGTATGACGACATAAAAGTTAGGGACAGCGTCACAGGGTCTCGTCCTCACGGGATTTGTAATAGGAGGCACAGTAGTCTAGTGGTAGGACGCCGGGCTCGTGACCAAAGGTGGCAGGTTCGAGTCACGTCATGGCACTGTGTTGTATCGTTGAGCAAGGTACTTTACTCCGCTTGATCCAGTCTTTTCAGCTGCAAATGAGCACGTGGTTGGGCAGTGCAAGAATTGTTGAATGCTAGCCGTGAGTGCCGAAATTGCAGCACCGGCTGTATGCTCCCCAGGGAGTTGAGAAAGATATTGGCAGGTTGCAAAGGTCCTGTAACCACGGATGATAATTTGTAAACCGTTTTAAGACGACCTACGAACTAGATTGTGAAAAAGCAGTATATAAGAACCTCAAATTATAATAGGTCTGTTTAACGTCATCAAATAAGCAACAGCGTCAAAGGGTAATGTATCTTCCTCACGGGATTTGTTATAGGTGTGTATAACGTCATCAAATAACGGACACCGTCACAGGGTCTGTTCCTTGCAGGCTATTCCGTCTTTGCGTGTTGCAGAGTTATCTTCTCTTGAGAGCAGGTTTTGATTGTTACGTCATTAATTTGTGGGAGAAAATTACGTCGTTTTCTCAAAAATGTATGACGTTACTCTCATAAACAAATGACGTAACAATCAATACCTGCTCACAAGAGCAGATAACTCTGCAATACGCAAAGACGAAATATGATATATCGTCTAGGTTTTTAAAATTAAAATTAAATTTCGACAGTCAGTTGCCCTTAATAAATGTGCTAGCATTAGAACAAAATTTGTCGAGAAGTCATTGATATGGATAGTTTGAAATAAAGATAACCTTTATATTCATATTATATTTTTTATATTATAACATATTTTATTTAGTATTCATTTATATTTTTATTCACAAATCATGCATTATAAAATCATGCATTATATAAGAGTGTTTAAACCAATATTCAGAATAATGAATCAAGGTATAGATATAGATGTTAATACTCCGCTTATTGCATCAGTGTTGACATAAGATGTGGACATGATGTATAACAAAATTAAGTGTATCAATGTCGATTGAGGATGGTGTTATTTTTCACTAATTAAGAGTTTCTATACACAGGTGTGGAGTTGGTGGGTCCTTCCAAGCGGATATGGGCGGGCATTGTCATTGAGTATGCTTTCGCCGTCGGTTTAGTGAGTCTAGCATTTATTGGCTACTTTGTCCGTTACTGGCAGTACCTTGTCATCATCTGTGCTGTCCCATTCGCCTTGAATCTGAGTTATTGGTGGTAAGTTTATACAATAAAAAGTCGGTAACAACAGAAATTGCTACCATGTCATTTCAGTTTGCCAGGTTACGTTGACATAATAAATGCCTAACTATGCCGATATTGGCTTCTGATATTTTTTTAACATACGTATGTGATTTGCTGTGACCTAGGTTACTACCAGAGTCACCGCGATGGCTTATATCCAAGAAGCGGTACGAGGAGGCAGAAGCAGTGCTTCGTAAAGCCGAACGGGTTAACAAGGTCAAACTACCCGATAACCTGTTGGACAAAGACATAGACGAGGTTCCAAAGCCCACTGGCAACTTCCTCCAACTCTTCACTAACCGAGTTCTTCTCATCAGAACCCTCATTATCTTCTTTAACTGGTAACGACAATCTTGCATACTTATTAAACGATAGAAATGTCCCATGTATCATACAATCTGGGGTGGTCGGGTGGTGCAGTGGATAGCGCACTTGCCTTTCATCAAGTCGGCCGGGGTTCGATTCCCAGATCGGACGTGAAAAGGTATGGGGTCACCTGCCCGGCTACGTGGGTTTTCTCCGGGTACTCAGGTTTTCTCCCACAATTCAGTCTTTGCGTATTGCAGAGTTATCTTCTCTTGTGAGCAGGTACTGATTGTTTCGTCATTAATTTGTGTGAGAAAATTACGTCGTTTTCTCAAAAATGTATGACGTTACTCCATAAACAAATGACGTAACAATCAATACCTGCTCACAAGAGCAGATAACTCTGTAATACGAAAAGACGGAATAAGACCACCCGCGCGCTACCATTCGGACCAACAAGAGTGATTAATATATGATTTAACGTCTCAGATTGTTAAAAGGAAACGGGATTTTGAACATAAATATATAGATATATAACTATTTTACTATTTCAAGTGTCATTTGTGGGAAAAAATCCCTATGAATTTGACAAAAAGTACATTATTTTATAGAAAAAGTATTAGGAAGATGTGGCTAATGTTTTTTTTTTTTTTAGGACCATAGTGACTATGATATACTATGGGCTGTCTTTAAATTCCGGCAATCTTGGTGGAAACTTTTACATGAACTTCTTCCTTTCGGGACTGGTTGAGTTTCCGGCATACACAGTGGTGTTACTATTTCTGGACAGGGTGGGACGGAAGCGTCTTCACTGTATCTGTATGATTGTAGGTGGTGTCACGTGCCTAAGCACGATCTTCACTATAGTATTTGGGGGCGCAGGTAAGCAAATTTTGAATAGTGTTTTAAAAATAATATGTATGAGAACAGAATCAGCATATATAGTTACCATACTTAGAGAAAGTAAAATATTACTTGGACTATCCAGGTAACTACTTAGCTAGATCATATTTAACACAAGCAAATACCATACTATCAATCAATCAATCACATTGAAGCATTGATAATGCTACCAATGTATTAGAATATCTTCATTGAGATGTTTTCATTGTTAACGATTTAAAAATGAAAAGTGAATAATTACCACGAAGAATAAGTCCAGAGTGTATAATATAGTCGGTTTACCCTTGCAGAACTACAGGCAGTCACTACGACGCTAGCTATGATAGGCAAGCTGGGAGCTGCCGCTGCCTTTGCTATTATATATATATATTCCGCGGAACTCTTTCCAACGGTCGTTCGAAACTCCGCCCTTGGAGCCAGCTCATGTGTCGGACGCATCGGTAATATAGCGGCGCCATATATTGCTGATGCGGTAAGTAGATACTTATTACATGTAATTGTTTTGCTGTAAGTGTTACTTTCACATGGCAACTATATACTTTTTGTTCTTATCGTCATCTTTAGAGATTTTCTCACTATAAATATTGCGCTGAACTATGACTACACACATATTGAAGTTTGTGTATACTGTTTTCTATTGTATTTTGGTGTTTTTGTGCGCCAATTCATCAATGCACTAATCTGTTCAAATTCGATAAGCGCTGAGTTGTGAGCGCGCTAAAAGAAGTACATTTACAGCATAGTGTTTTGTTTTATTTTTTACATATCTTGTTTTCTTTTCCGAGCTTTAAGCGAGGTTTAATACATCACGGCAAAGGCCAACGGAGGTTATTTCCCCCTTGACTTCTGCAGTAATAAACATTTAAAGTAATTTTACATGCATTTATTGGTTCGGAATATGATGAAATGGATCTCACACCGTTCTAATTCATGTCTGATTTCTGTTACACTCGCTGAAGCATAAACCATATGTGAACTGGTTTGCAACGCAACTTGTTGTATTGGAATGAATTAGCGATCTTTTATTATGTAGAGCTAGTTCACATTATACTGCTTGACTATTACGGTAAAGGTCAGATATTACATTGTTATCAACAATGCACGTATTTACATTGAGCATTGGTTGTTTACAATACTTAACCTGTGCTACAACAAATCAACGGAAAGAATAACCTGGCTCTGAATTGTCTACTGTAACGAAATTATTTACAGGGGAATATGATAGGCGGCAAATTCGGAAAGGCATTCCCTTTGATCGTCTTTGGATCGACGGCAATACTGGCCGGATGTCTATCTTTGTTTCTGCCCGAAACACTTAACGAAGATCTGCCAGAGACCATAGAGGATGGAATACTATTTGGCACGTGAGTATATTGATAAAGGCTAGGCATTTGAAATGTTAAGAAATGTTACTTCCTATACCATTGTGAGTTATTTACAATGTTATCAATATTTTATAAAGAACCCGTACTTTTGGTTGAATTTATTTTATTTTTATAAAATAAATTCAACCAACAGTACGGGTTCTTTATAAAATATTGATAATAACAGTTTATGATGAGTCTATATGTATAATGACCATCATGCGAATATAAACATTGTAACAGGATTGTTCCTGTGGTTTTGACAATAGAACGTCTGAAAACCGCAGTATGGCAGGGACATTAAAACTATTTATTATCTGATCTTAATTGAATGTGCGGAACAAAAGCATTTTTTTTTTTTTTTTTTTTTTTTTTTTTTTTTTTTTTTNTGTCACAGTTGTATTTTACATACACAAAAAATAACACATTCTCTCACACTCACATACACACATTCAAAATAACACTTAGACATCATCCTCATCCTTCACATCATCATCATCATCATCATCTCATCATCATCAACATCATCAACAGCAGCATATTGCCATCATCATCATACACCATCTTCTAACGTCATTATTATCATCATCTACATCAACAAGATATTGCCACCATCATAATCATCATTATGCACCATCATCTTGCAGTATTGTCATCATTACCATAAACAACACAGTAGTAAACCATCAAAACCAACAACGTCAAACCAAAAGTGGCATCACTGCACCAATAACATATCATCAGGTTTTGGTACAATGATGCCATGCTTCGTTTTGTTGTGATTACTGAAATAATACTCGAAATCTTTGCCTAAGTACTCGATCAATCTCCGTCGGTCTATCTGATATTTTTTGTTTCAGGGATGCATACAAAAACCGGAAGAAGGATATAAGTATGGAGGAGAAGGTGATGCGGCCAGAGCAGATGGCGCAGCTTCTTCCTCATGGCCGACAGACGAACTGGTCAAATTAAAACACCTAATAGGCTTACTGTGGCGAATTTCACCTCGAACGAAAGCTACACAATTATGTCAATTTGAATAAAGCTAACAGGCCGGAGTGTATGTCCATTCAACCGTTTGTCACAGGCTGGACGATGTGGTCAATCTGATGCGACAAAGCCGGACAATATTTGACTTCGATCTGATCAGGGCTATGGTATATTAAAAATGGCCATGCTAACTTTTTGTTCACAAACACAACGGTGTGATAGTAAGGTAACACAGAGTGGACGGTGACACCAATCTCCGTATATTTGCGATGTATATGATGGGTTATGACTATCCAGAATTGTATCCCTACCTTCGAGCGTTAAAGTATTGTAGGGCGATGTGCATGTATGTCATCAAGAATCCCAGCATAGATATGTGTGGTTAGGTAGACATTTGCATTGCTCTAGAGATGTCGAGTCATCGTCTCGTTACAAATGAGTACCTAATATATTAAGTAAGTCAAAATTTAAAAATAAGATGAGTAAAAACTGGGTGAAAGATATATGGCAAACGGAAACCCTACCCCGTTGAGGGCATTCGTTGTTGGGGGATTAAACCGAGGGCCGTTCAACCCTGGTAATCCCTATCCCAATTATTGATGGTTGTAGGTTTAATTAATGCATGTAATCTTTGTTGTAAAAAAATGGTAAGTGTAAATACACTATGTTCGCTTATGTTGTTGTTTATATACATCACCGTGTTCATACATCTTACTGTGGGTGTTGTATGATCCGTCCTTGATATTGATTCCGGGTCTTGATTGTTTTAAAACAATATCGCCTGTTTTTCTGTGTGTAAGTTTTGTACTCTGCAAATTGAAGGTTTATTCTGATTCTTCCAATGTTAAGAACATCACAGTATGGTATGTGAACATGATGCTTTATATTTAAGATTCATTTCGTGTAATTGGCTTTATACAGGAGATATTCATAATGGTATTCTGTTGTCTGAGTATAAATATACGAATACACTGATTGAAATTTGTTTTCTTCTTTTAATGCATTATATATGATATACTATTCTATATAGAAACAATTTTACATTATGCAATACAAATCCCAGTGTATAATTTCATAGACTTGATTTTAAACTCGTGAACACTTGATGGTCCACAATGATTCCTAGTAGAGATAACACGATATGCATAAGTAAATGGTTTGATCCAAATAGCAGTGACAGTCCTTTCGACAAATAGGTTTTTTCTAGATCAATCCTTTTACCCTCTGAGGAAAACGTAAAAGTTGTGTATATTTTTTGAGACGGACTTTTGATAGACCTGTTTGTATCCATTGTTGTGACAAATAAAACAAGACAAAGTCATTTCTAGGAAAGAAAATTGTTGAAAACTTTGTACCGGATCTACAAATTCAAACCCATGCGTGGTTGCCACACAGCCAATATCATGATTTATAATTATTATCAGATGATAAAAGAATATCAAAAAGTATATTATAAGAGTTATCTCCCTTCATTCAAAAAATTCTGAATCCTTGTGAATCTTATGGAATACAAAGAAACATATGTACTTTAAGTTTTGCCTTGCCTGAAAAGACGTTCTTGTGGCGCAATATTGATTTTGTTATATAAACATTTTACTATCCATGTTTCCTTATGGAACATTAGTATCGACGTTTTAAAATGAAATAAGCATAAACAAAAGTTTCACTTGGAAATTCCAAAGAGACCGCTGGACCAAAAGATGTACCGGCTGGTTTATTATACGAAGAACAGATGTTGTTAAACCTATATTATATAGACACACAAGGTCGAGAAAGAGATTTGGTTTTCTTATCGTATATTTATCTTTGCCGAACATCAAATGTTATATTTAATTGATAGACGAGATAAAAATAAACATACTTTACATGCTTTGAATGGCAAAAAACGTGCTCCAATAAACATATTTATGAACGGATTTATCAGACTTTGCTCTCGAAACTAGCACCAGAATAGAACATGTAAAAACGAACCTTATTCTGTAAATTATATCATAACACAGTAGGAAGCGTGGATTGATAAATGGAATTCAAATGAAACATATATGTATAGAATACACGATAAATCATATATGAGACACAACTTCAATGCACAAGTTAAACTGATGGATGTTAACAGCATGTTACAATTTAACAAGTGATATTCTTGTTATTAAAATTATTATGCCATTTCAACGTGTCACATAGATATCGTAAAACAGTCACTAGTGCACATGCACACATAATTGGCTGTTTCTCGTGGAGGCTATGATCACGTGATGTCACCCAACGGCAGGGCAAAGGTCTCGACCAATCAGAGCTTTGTGCCGCTGTTGACTCCATTTGTATCGTTAGTGATGCCTGATTCAGAATCAAATGCTTTGTTGTCATAATCAAGCTTTGGTTCGTATTTCTTTGACAACCTGTAAGGACAATTGGCATTCGTGATAATGATACCGAAGATTAATTGCTATACCTTGAATCTGTTCTACACAAAATAACCACAAATGTCCAAAATAAACAAAATGTCACATACTGCATGACAAGGTATACGTAATACATGTCACGAACAAGTTCTTTGCACTCCATTTCCCATATCCTGACTACGGAATCATTTAAGCTTCAAATTTAATACCAATGAAATGTTGATCAATTCTCTATCAAAGTATGAGTTAACATAAGTATTTATTTACACAGTGGCAATTCGACATTTAAAAGATGTCAAGCCAAATATGGTTTCATGACTCCATGTTCATAGGTCGGACTAATAGCAGTATCAGATTGTTGTTTGATTAATTATTTCGATACTGTCGCTAACTCAATATTGAAACACCATATATTTTTAAGTTAACTTGCTCCATTTTTCTGTATATTGTACTACATTTTGTTTGCCTTTTAACTCTAAAAAAAACCCACCTAGATAACCTCGCAACTAGATCTTTAGCTATACTTACTTCTTTTTACCAAATCGTCTGCCATCCTCTAAAGATTCCGGAAGGTCTCTGTTGTTGGTTTCCGGCAGCCATAGTGACATAATCCCTGCTACGACAGACGCTGCACCGAACACTACCAGCGGTACTGCACGTCCGAGGTTACCATCTATCACCTTGCTCTGCCAACATAAAGCGGGATGAAATGTAAATTCATATCTAATGTCACCAAATGCCGTATTTCTTTGTATGAAATATTTCTAGGATCAATAAAACTGTTTCCCTAGTGTTTTCATCGCTATTGAAGTTCTACGTTTATTCATCAATTCTTTATTAATGTTCCCAGAAAAGAGAAGCTTGCACTACGTTTTGATGCAAATACATGGCTGTGTAAATTGATCTTTCTTTGTCATATGATCATGACGCTATTAGTGTTTTCTTGTGCATAAACAATAAACCCATTGTTGCCTTTTCTTAATTTAAGTTTAACCTTAATTTTGTTTATTTGTTGATAATATTATTTGTCAAATATAAGGCCGAGTAGATATATGACTATTGTAGCGTATACTGATTATATACTTAGAATTATATACGTCAGAAGTGTATAATTGTAATACCATTAATGATATAATAAAATTCAGTTTATTTGTTAGTTTACCATTACATACCAGGTCAGCAATATACGGTGCAATCATGCCCCCTATACGTGCGCACGAGGAGCTGGCACCCATGCCTGCGTTCCTGACCACAGTTGGGTATAACTCAGCTGACCACACATAGATCACAGCGAAGGCGGCGGCCGCTCCAACCTTGCCCAACATAGCGAGCGTGATTGTGATTGGCTGGAGACCTTTGATTGTGAGGTATTAATGAGATGTATTTTTTCTTCATAAAAATGAATAGGCAACATGTTGTAAGAAGTAAAATCAACATGAAAGTAGTGCTTGCTTTCAAGCTATTCAAACTACCATATTAGGTCAGGAGAAAGCAAAGAGATAGTGCAGAAGAAATGAAACGTATCAGGAATAATGAAATTAGATTTGAATTTTAAATTTATTCTATGAGACACGTTTGTCGCATCACATCGTTTAAAATATGAACGGAAAGAGTTTATTTAGTTTGAGCATTAACCATTTTATTCTCTATGAGCCCACAATTATAAACGTCAGATAGAACAACTTACTTTCATCTGCGTATAGCATGGGGAAAAGGGTGACAATACAAGCAACACCACCAAGTATCATGCATGCCGCGTGAAGAATCCGTCTGCCCACCCTGTCTAGCAGCACGAGGCATATGGTATAGGCGGGAAACTCGACCAGACCAGACAACAGAAAGTTGATGTAGAAATCACCCCCGAGGTTTCCAGTGTTCAAAGAGAGACCGTAGTAAACCATGCTGACCACAGCCCTTCAAATTGATGAAAAAAATAACAACGTATACAGTTTGTCTATTGCTCAAATTCACAAAAGATCTAATGTCCGTAAATGTTGATCGGCTATCAGTTCTGATACCATAGACGCCAAGCAACAAATGCGAAGATCAAACAAATAACATGATATACAACATGACCGTGACTCCTAATGTCATATTATGATGTTATTTACACCAATGAGTAGCATTCACTTACATATTTACAATCAAATGACGCATAAAAAGTCGCTTTTCAGATAAAGAGAGAAAACAACTTAGGTACCAATTAAAGAATATGATGAGTGTCCTCACGAGGAGAACACGTGAAGTAAACAGGTGCCAGAGACGACCAGATTCCGGTTCCTCTATGGACTCTGCCGACAGGATCTTCTCCGGAATCGTCACTTTGTTTACTTTCGCAGCCTTTTGGATGATCTTGTTGGCCTCCTCGATTTTACCCTGACTGATCAGCCATCTCGGGGACTCGGGAATAAACCTAAACACAAAGGAACACAACCTCAAGTGTTATAGTTATGAGGAAACGTCACGTTAAAATCATTAATAGTTTGTTGACATCTATTTCAGTAATTTACATAATATCGAATGGAAAAGATAACAATACAAGTATCACGACACTCATGTTAATTCGTTATCTTCATTATAATCGATTGTCTCAACACCAGCTACAAGAAAATAGAAAGTATTTAAACGGGGGTATATTATGTTGATGCATGCAGTGTAATCCACAAACGGATAAGTTTTAAATGTACTAACTTATGGTCAGGATACATTAATATGATGTAGATGTTTAAACAATAGAAATTCATTTTATATTACGCAAATTTTGCAGTTATCATCTAGATTTTACCATTACGGAAACAAGTGTTGGAACATCAAAAGTATAAAGGAAAGTAATAAACGCCAGAAGGTTTAATTGAACATACTCTCTTTTTTCTCTTGAATATTTGGTATGGTGTACATTTTAAAAGAAAAAGCATGTGTATGGAAATTTGCATGGTGACACTTCAAGCTATCGGCGATGTGTTTGGCCGTTGGCCATGCGACTGTTTTGTGATGTACCTAAAAATAGGTTAATATATTTTTCGTGCTGGTTTTGTAAATGCAAAATTAACGAAAATTCCATCAGCGCGACACTTTCTACGTTTACCACATTGAAAGCAGACGCTTCAGAAAGACACTTAGATTAACTTTTTATTTGATGACAGATTAATGGTTATTTTAAGAAAACTTAAAGTGTCAAGTTATTTAAAAAGGCAGACGGATTACTTACCACCAATATAGAAGGAAGAAGGCAGAAGGAGCAGCACATGCGATCTCAGTATACTTCCACTGCCTGAAGCCGTACCCCACTCCTCCTAGAATGACCAGTCCAAGGGCGAAGAAATACTCGATGACAATTCCGGCCCACACACGCTTTGAGGGACCCACCAGCTCCATACCTACAACATACGGTACATTCTATAGTATTTTAAACTTAGTTTAACTGCAAATGTACATTTATCCTGAACGCAAGCATATGTATCTACATATTTAGATAATAGTCCTGGGCCCGTATTCATGAAACCGTGTTCATGCTTCACCATGGATTTTGTGCTCAAGACGAATTTCCTGTTAGGCTATGAATTAATAAGTATATCTTATTTTGTCAATGATTTCGGAAAACATTGAAGAGACTTAAAGACGAAAACTGTTTTCAATGTTTATTTTTGACTTTTGATCGTTTGATATGATTTTAACGAGTTACAAGAAAGTTGGTTTAAGCACAGAATCCATGCTTGAGCACGAGAACGGTTTCATGAATATGGGCCCAGATTCAACGAAAATATTTGTGTGTTTGATGTGACGTCACTCAGATGTTATTATGAGTCTCCTGTCATAGCTTGCCAAAATTTGTCGAAGCTGTTTTCAAATGTTGTTACTGTATGTTTCAGATAGGGAAAATTCCAGTTTCCAACAATCCGATGATTAATCATTATTTCCTAACGTCCAGTGTATTACAAAATTTTGATTAATTTGATGAATATGTTTAACACAATAATTATAAGCAAGCTTAGTGATTTCACACTTATGTTTTGAAATACCATAGATGTGTTAACATTGCGCTACAAGCACATTAAAATTAGGTATACAAAATTCACCATCGAATATTTTACCTACATGTACATACCAATGACAAAGGCGGTCATGAACATGCCAGCACATGCCGCTCCCACCAAGAATCGAAGCACACAAAAGGTGATGAAATCTGGAGCCCATGCTACACCCAAGGTTGATCCGAGCAACAACAGAAAGGAAATATACAGAGTCTTCTTCCTTCCAATTCTGTAGAGAAAAGTCAAGATCGGTACATTAAGTCTCTATGTGTGCGTATTTAAGTCCAAGTATTTCATATACACTGTATAAAGAGAAAACAATATTAATCATTATAGCAAAATAAAGATAAAAATTGAAGAAATTATATTTTTCTTAAAATGTATAATGATAATGCGTTTGGAGATACAATGTCACCTGCACTATATTTGTACATGTTATACGTTTTTTGTTCATCTTCAGAAACACACAACTTTTAAGTTGCTTGAAAAACATTTCCTTAGGATAGTCAATACTGCAAGGGAAGTACCTCTTCTTTTCCTTCATGAAATTTGTAAAATTTTAATATTATCGAAAGCTAAATAATCACGAGTTCTCTCCCTTTAAATGTTAAATACATACTGAAGCAAACTGATACATAATTGTATCTTAGTTATACCGTTCAAACAGGTTACAATTTCAAAATGGTCGGCTAAGTCATTGTAGACAATATAATAGGGAGATTCTAGGTTGTGGGACATACGTACTTGTTGTTTTTATAATCATAGATGTAATAACTATTGCTTGATAAGCAAATTAATTATGAAGAAATAATATACGAATTCAATACCTGTGCTTGTAATGCTGGATGTGTATATGTTATCAAATAAACTCTGTGTTTTATTATTAGGATTTCAAGATTATCTGTCAAAAACAACCCGAAGTAACCCCCTTATTTCATGTTTTTTTAGCACGTTATACAGGAATTGTTCGCATTCCAATGAATCATTTCTCAACCAATATTCCTTATCCGAAACAATATTCTATTTTAATTTATTTCATAGAATATTGATAATCAAGTTAATAAGTTGACTTTATCGCTAATGTATTGAAAATATCATCAACCTTTGTCTACAGAGTGACATCATATGCCATACAAATTTCCTGAGTATTTGGATAAGCAATGTCAAGGTTAAAATTCATCGTATTTACTTTGTTTTGTAAAGTAAATAATATGAGTATTACCTTGTTTTGGATTTAGAAGCTTGAATTATCTGATCAGGTTTATACCATCACACGCCGTGAAAACGGTGCTAAGTACCTATGGGTGTTAACAGTCTATTTAGAAGAAAAACAATTGTCCGATTTTGGAAGTAGTTTATTATGTGTAACTCGAGAATGCACATGTTCTATATATAACGATCGGTGACAGGCGTTACTGAAGATATATCTGTAACGCGATGGCCGAGGACAGACGGTGTCAAGGTGTTTTATTTTTATTATGTAAATCGTATGATACAGACAAGATCTGATAGTTTCATTAAGTCGGACTGGGGTAGAAATTGAAGTATGTTGGTATAGGATGGGCCGTGGAATTAATTGAAGGGGTCGTATCGAGGTTAGGTATAATGCGATGTAGGTCAAGGATGGCGGGTGGATACAAAGGGTCAAACATATATTGAGTTTCGGTATTGGATATCATGTGAAGTAGTAGAGTGGTCAGTTTGAGGTTTACCTAAGATTTAAAGATAGCAGCCAACCATAGATATGTATGTCACGTCGATCTGATGATAACGATGAATTACCATGTGGAATATATTAAACTCTTCTGTCAAATCAGGCCTATCCCCGTTCTGGTTTACATGGTTATAGATAATATAGATGTAGCACTAATGCATTACCATTATAATATATGAATAACACCAATATATTCAAATATATTTTATTGCAAAGGACTTGATGTCTAATGTCATTCATGTAGGTTCGGATTTTTAAATAGAATGGGGAGGGGGTCATGCATATTTTCGGGAATATTGGAAAACTAAAACCATTCTGTTTACAGGTAATATTCGAATATTGGTTCCCAATGTTTAATAAACCACAGCTAAAATCAAATTATAAAATAAAGTGTCAGAAAAATGAAAATAATAAATAGTTCAGCAATCGCATAGGACGGGCAGTAAAGCTATGTTTTTCTTTAAACAGATCCCTGCTGTACCAAACGAATTGGTAGCGTCTTATAATTTACCGTTGTCCTAAACGTAAACGCCAGGATGTTTAATTAATCTAGGACAAAATAAACCCACGAGAGTCATCTTACAAGTCTTTACAAATCTTTGAAGTATGTCAAAATATTCATGAGGGTAGTTGATACAATATTCTGTCTCTATTTCAATTGGTCACTTTTTATTCATGACATCAAGACAAGCATGACAAAACATATACATCATTGATAATAAAACTGTTTTGTTTCGTAGCATGAAGTAGATCTAAACGCTGTCTAGGATACCTATTGTGGTGACCCTATGCTAGGGTAAGTGTAAGGTCATTTTATATGACATGCCGTTCCAGATAGTGTATGAGGCGAACATAAATTTACACGTCTAACGAACACCATTAAATATCATAATTAAATACCTTTGCAGGCCCTTTTTGAACACCAAATGTAAAACACCGTATAGTTATAAAGGATTAGAAAGGTTAATGTGATGCATTATGCGCATGAGTGCCTTACATGTAAATATGTCATCGCGATACACTGCATTCCTTTTGATGGTGAAGATAATTTAAATGTAATTTTTTTTATTTCATTCGTCCTTTTTAAAGTACAGAACTGTTGCTCATGTCTGATATATCGTATATTCCTCCTAGATTGTAAAGATTGAGGTTATACAGACACGCTTTCTGTCGCTTGTTACATAACTGCAGACTCGCATTATGTCGATTGAGCATGTAAGGGACATATACTGACATATAATGTACATAGACAGCAAATACGAACAGACAGCTGAAGTGTTTTACTGAGTAGTAAACATTTAGATTATTACCTATTTTTCAAATGAACGATGCAGACGTAATCAAACACGAGACTGGGGAAGCTGTTAGACTAATGTTTTACAATCTGAATATGTTTTTTTTTTATCGTTTTTCCTTCATCTATAGAAAAGCTATATTCTAAATGTGCACCCACGCACTGGATCCGGTGAAGTGACATCGGTAGCGTAACGGATCAGTAAAGCACATTTAACGGTCTCGAGTTCGCCCCACGAAGGAAAATACGTTTTGTTCCATATTTTGTTATTACAGCGAATTAAATAATTATTGATGCAATCATAAAATCACTAATAGTAATGCTTAATCCTAAAGCAATAGTACATTTACGTTTAGATCATAAGTATATATTCCTATTGCTGTGATATCACTATGGTTGGTATGCAGAGCGGACATCGCAATAGCGAACTATTATGTGACGTCAGTGTTTATGACGTCACAATTTCTCTTTTTAATAAACAGTCTGAAGAATCTCCTTGATAAGATATAAGTGATAATGAAATATTGTTGAGATTTTTTTCTATATATAACACGAACACTTAAAACAACAATACTCGTGTGGCTTACATAAGTCTGCCAACTTGCAGCAGAGAGAACTGGAAGGGGACGAAACAATGCAAGTAAACGTTGAGAACTCTATCTAATATCTAGCCCCAAAATTATGAAACGATTTCAAGTCTAATATTATCTTCAGTTCTGACTAAACCAATCACAAATAACGGCATGAAAAGTAACGTCATACTTGATTGGCTAAGCAAGAACCAAAGTCTAAGATTTATGATCCCGGGGTCACTGGTCATCCTCTACTTCCCACGTATATCGTAGACTTGTCTGTCGAGCACATACATAGTGTCATCACTTTACTTATATTCTGTATGTCAAATGTAATTTCCTGATCAGTATGAGTACGTACATGTCAGACAATGATCCTAATCCAATAGCCCCTACCAACACACCGCCGAAAAAGATCATCTGAGCGTGGGACGTCTTCAATTTGTCGTCACACACAATATCATGCTAGAAAAACAAAACAATCAAAATTACTACATGTACGCATCTAGAAAGTCACAAACCACTGAATATTATGACAAACCTGTTGATAAATAAACGTGATTGATAACTCGCCTAGTATTAATTCAATTGAGTAAGTTACACAATATTTCTTATGAGCTGATGCACTTACATGTTCTCCAAATTACTATAAAGGTATATGTTAAACATTCTGTTACATATAAATTAACAAAAGTGGAATGTTTGACATGAAACTACGATGTTCTTTATCAGAAATGGTAATGACAATGGCAATACAATGATAGTCATACTGTAACACACAGAATACATAGGTAAAACTCAAATATTCACATCTTATTCGTTAAATCAGCAGGTGATTCAATTGTTTCGGAATATTCAAAGAATTTAAATGGAGATCTTACCTGCCTATATCCAGAGCTTGTACAACGCGATCAGTATACATATTTTAAACGTGACAAATTTCTCCTTGTCTGTTTTGCATACAGTTTGGAAAGTGGAAGTTAAGTTTTTCATGTTTGCAATTATGCAAACATTTTGACCAACATTTTATCAAAGTCAGACACCCGATATTTTACAGAACATAAATCCTGTAAATATCGTTAGTATTTATGCTGATGCTGCCTGGCGAACGGCCACTTCATTTAATTACTGTGTAATGACATAATTACATAATTACATAGGCCCATTGCTATTCTGTTACACCCGGTATGCTGATTTCACGATGGTTATAGCGCAAATTACATGATGGATGCATAATTTGAACCTGAAAAGCTAAAATGCAAGACTTTTCGAAAACAGTTTAGATAATGTAAACACCTATCGTTTCATCGTTGCCTGCGTCATTATGTGGGCGGTGGTTTTTACTACTTGCATGTTTGCAAACCACAGAACATTATTTAGAAACGTGGCTTATGTCATTGATTTCAACAAAAGCTAAATCGACAGTTAATTATACATGATCTATTCGCAACCATTTTGTTGTAATTTGTCACTCAGTGGTATTAACTAGCGGAAAGTGCCTAGGTGTGGTTGTAATACCTTAAAACATGATAAAATCACGATGGCCAGTGATGAATCTGTTATGTTTTTATATTTTATTGTTTTGCGTCATATTGTCATGACACAGGGTATATAAGACATGATTCGGTCGTCTCGTTGATAGCGGTCTAATCAGATCTTACCTCCGACGTGAAGGTGTTGATAAAAACACTCGTGTCGTAGACCCAAGACGAGCAGGCAACCTTTTTGGTCGAGTTGTCGTCGCCGTCGTAAGACCGGGCAAACAACTCACACTGGACGTATTTGAGAGTTTCGTCCGTGGATAGAGGCACCAGTCGACTGACCAAGACCTCATGAGAGGGACTCTGGATGTCATACGTATCATTAGGGTACCCTGGTATGGCGCATCTGTAAATAATAAACCATGGGCATGGATAAACAAGGAACATGTACAAGTGTCAATTTGAACGTTTGGTGAAAACGTATTTGAAGTTTTATGAAAAGTTTCTTATTACACAACCAATGGATTACTTTTCATAATCCATACTTAACGACCTGAAAAAAAATGTTTAGAAACGCATTTGAGGTTAGTCCGTTTTCTGTATATGTATCTATTATCATGAAAACTTGAAATCGCGGTTTATTTAGACTACACTCCGTTTTTTGTGTGTTATATCTCCATAACATGAAAAACATATTCGAGTAAATCGTTAAATACAGCGCTATTACAACCGGAGTGTACCCTCATTTTAAACCGCTTCGCGGTTTATTTAGAGTACAATCCGTTTTTTGTGTTATATCTCCATAACATGAAAAATATATTCAAGTCAACCTTATAATTTAATCTACTATACACAGTCCCTGTGGAAATCCACTTTTATTGATGGACTCTTTTCTCTTAGAAATTTTTAGGCCGCTGTATCAGCCAATCAAAAGCTACGTTACAATCGGCGATGTCATTTGTTTACGTTATGAGCTGATAATTTTTTTTTAAGCCAATGGCAATGCTTGTTAAAAGCAAGATTAAATTATAGGGAAATAACTTTGACGACGTCACAATATAAAATGAAATACTTAAAAAGTACGTGTATAAATGCATCACCTTTGAATTGTTCACTTAGGCGTATTCGCTTGTAGCAAAGGACAAAAATATACTGCAGTAAATGGTGACCATGAAACTACTTATTAGTTTTCTTTCACATTAACATATAACGTGGAAATAAAGATTTCCTTGTAATGTTGGTCCGCGGTCTGTTGGATACTCGGTGTGCAGATTGATCAATGTTGTCGGTACTCGGAGTCTGTACAGGTATTTTGTAAACAGCCAGTGTGTAGTATAATATTTTAACGGTATGGCCCGTTTGTATGTTTCTTTATGCAGTTGGTGAAAGGATGTCTCTATATAGCCAGCATGCAGATTTCTTTTTAAGTTCAAAATGCAGATTTATTTTCTGTATAGCCGTCATATAGATTACTCTGAGTAGATAGTGCGAGTATATTTCTCTCGTGTGCGATATCTATTATTTCTCTGAAAGGCTTCTCTATATAAAAAGGTGAAAGCTTTTCTGTATAAACACCATGTAAACATGTCTGCACTGCTAATACAATGTTTTCGATATAAATGCATTATGTAAGTGAATATGTATTACCGGTCATATATGTTTTTTTCAGATTACCTGGTTCAAGAATCATGAAACAATCCTCGACTTAAGTTTAAATGTCAAACGTTAAGCCAGTATGTAAAGTGTTCTATACATCTAGTGTGTATTTTCTCTGTGTAGACATTTTTTTCCAATGCCTAGTGCTCCTTGGTTAAAAGTATTGTATAGATGGTGTAAAAGTTTGTTTGTAAAGCACCTTGTAATTTCCCAGAATGGCCGGTACGATTGTTTCCCTGTGTAGTCGTTATGTTGGTTTCTTTATTCACCCAGTATGTAGGTTTCTCTGTGCTCGCTTAATACTTTATTTTCGGTAATTAATGTTTGCGTTAATTCGCGAGCAGATTTCCTCGCGAATTCTATCCTTCGCAAATATGAATTCCATGGATTATTACTGATATAACATCATTCCAATCGTGAATTCAAGTTTTGATCATAACACACATCACGCGAAAATAACGAGATTCGCAGCAATGCATTGTTTTACTCCTCAGCTGTGGGGTATACCTGTGTAATAATAGTACGTAACTGGATAGCTTGTGTACATAGTATACATAATGTCTGGTCGGTTTCATAGCCTCTTGCCGAGAGTATGCAAAGTGTTTGGCTAGTATTTTTATAAATTAACTGACCACATTTTTATCCGTATGACATATAATGGTTTAAGTGTGTTTGATTATAGATTAAATATGGTTTACGCGACGAAATTAGTTTTAACTTCTCATGAACATCAGTAATAAATAGACGGTAGTGTACACTGTAGCCTTATTTAATATGCACATATTCCAGACTCTGATATTTACTTAAGAGTTTACAAACATGTCAAAGCAAATTTTATATTTATCATAAATAGATTACCTCTTGTGTTCGTGAATATATTAGGCCGGAGGACTGAGTGTGGGGAGGAAAACATAGTCTAGGTTAATACCCCGTATGCATACTTACAAACTGTGATAAATACCTGAACCCAATGTACTACAGTTTCTGCTTATGTCTCTTAGATTAATCTCTGAATCTGACAAGTCTACCAATGTTATGTTCTCCCAGATACTTGTTTGTTGATATGTTTATTGTTGTTGTTTTTTTATTATCTTTTTTCTGAGATTTCAGTATAGATAATTAATAATTGATAATAATTCGAGGTTCTTATATACAATCTTGTTCATAGGTCGTCTTAAAGCGGTTCACAAATTAGTATCCATTGTTATAGGGCCTTTGCAACCTGACAATATCTTTCTCAACTCCCAGGGGAGCATACAAGCGGTGCTGCCATTTCGGCGGTCACATGCAGCAAGTATTCAACAATTCTAGCACTGCCCAAACACGTACTCATTTACAGCTGAGTAGACCGGAACAAGCTGAGTAAAGTATTTTGTTCAAGGATACAACACAGCGCCGTGCCGTGACTCGAACCCGCAACCCTTCGGTCACGAGCCCGACGTCCTGCCACTAGACTACCGTGCCTCCGATCAAATTTAAAACGTTAAGATGATTCACATCCATCTGCTCTTCGGATAAAAATTAGTTTACGAGGGAAATTTTATGTAAACGTATGCTGCGTACTGTTCTGTTTATCGCATTTCTTGATTTTGATCATTGCGATTGTGTCGCGGCGTGTTTCATGTTGCTGATGTTTTCATGACTGTGCTTGATCAATAAATACAAAAATGATTAACAGAAGATTGTCATTCTAATGAGATATACATCAAAACCTATGTAGTAATCAGGGACCAACACGTTCAAATTATCAACAGCCTAGCGCAAATGTGTATATATAACACCACATACTAATTTTAATGATAATTCTGTCTCTAGGTTATACCAAACGTCACAGACTCAATGTATGGTTGATGACATAATGACGCTCAGTCGTTAATAACTGGGGGATCTATGTACGTTATGTATATACGTAGTTGTTATTGATAGCGTTTGATATGTCATGTCGCGCAACAGTGGTACAGAAAAGGCTGTGGGGTTATGCACTGTTAGATATATGAATACCGGTAAGCAAAGTCTAAAATTCATAGAGCGAAGGTGTTTTAAAACATTGAACTATTTAGATATATTACACACGTAACAGAATAAAGAGAAATGCAACAGCCAGACCGGGGTTTCTAACCCTGGACCCTCCGAACTCTAGACGGACACTCTACCAATTAGACTTCCTTGTCGCCGACGATCGACCTAGTCCAGTTCTGCTACATACATATCTCCGATGATAATCTATTTATTTGCTCACCAACATTACCACACCCACAATGTTGTATGAAGATTTGTTTTAAATAATATATAGCACTTACATATTTTAAAATCTCGGGGAGAAGGTATACGGCATTTATTGTCTCTGTTTACCTATTGTTAAAATTGCAAGTCAAAGTAAAAAATAATTTATTTTAAAAATCAGAAGAGGGAATAGGTTTGATATATCCTAAAGTTCTTGGAAAATCAAAGTCTGTGTTGTCATAACCAGTTTGGTGACGGCAGAAAAGTGGTCACCTAATCAAATGCTGTTATTGTCTCACAACACGTAATGCTTTGTCGATGTATTAAAATGGGAGGTACAGACAGAACAAATATTGACATGGATTGGCAAGTTTTAGGATCGTCCGTTCTCTCTAACATTAATGTCAATTGCAAGGATTCCACATATAATGTTAACAGTGGCGGTAACGCAAAAAACTTACCGAAATAAATATCGACATTTTATTATGTTTAATGAAATTTACATTGCCTTCCATAAATGCAATGTTAGGTTATGTCAGACAAATCGATCCCCATTTGTCAAAGATATTTGCGATGTAGTGACAAATTAAAGCACATAATTCTGTACACTTATACTGTCCCTGCTGGAGGTAATGTTCACGATCTCCCTAAATCTATTTCCATAAAATGGTTTTCATTAGCAATGTATTTCTTGATTTAATCTATAACTTTGAGCAAATTATTGAATGATAAAATGTGTCGTATTAGATTACTTCTTTTAATGGTTGCAATTATCTTCACAATACTTGTATAACCACGAGGAGATTCGTTTTCCGATATACTTGAATATGAAATGTAAAGATGATTATTAATCCTGTTGATATTTACATGTAATCAATTCTACTTGTACACTTACATAATCTGTACGTTTATCGAGAGTAGGACAACATGAAGGTCAAGTGTACTGCATGACTTAACATCTAAAGCAATTGCATATAAATGATGTTATAACGTTTCCTGAATAGAGAGAACACGAGTCGTACTAGCATACAACGTCCCTGTTGTGGTTCCTGAGTAAATTTGAACACCCTGGGAACTAGGTCGTAGACAGGTGTATTGACATTCAGAGATAAATATTTTTTATGAGGCTGTAGACACAAGCTGTACCTCATACTCCCTTTACCCGACCTCTGTATTGTGTACGCAGGACATGTTAACCCGCATGCTCGTGTAGGGTGTAATTCCATCTCGCAGACAAGGTGGCTCTGACACTTGTTGACGCCAAAGGGGGAAAACATCAATTAGCATTATAACTGGAGCGGACTTCGTTTTTCAATTGTTCAAGAAAAAATCAAGATTGGGTAAAACGTGGAAGTAAGATAAATTATTTTAAAGGAAAGTACAATTCACCTATTCACTAATATAACTTGGATTGAAGAAAAGCCCTAACGCACAAGTTTTTTATAATGTTTATTTTGGTAAAATATATTTAACCCTTTCCGTTATTTAATATATATACATTCTAAATCAATGTTGATACTGAATGCA